ATCAGGCTGCGCTCGGCGAAGCATTTCAATGTTATTTTATTATTTTAATAAATATTTGAATGATTGAAAATTGTGACTTCAGTTTACAACACTATAACATTTATCATTGCAATTTTCATTGATGCAAATGCATTTCCGGAATTTCCGATACTATGAAATAAATAGAATAATGTCCTTATGTTTTATTTAAACCGGACTTGAACCAAATGCCTTTGATTTGTGTTAACAAAAAACCAGTGACATGCATCCCTACTGTCTCTGTCGAAAAAAAAAACCTGAACCAATTGTGTACGTGTGATAAATGTTTTGATAATTTGCAAATACAGAGTTCAGTTCTACGGTCTACATCTCGAGTCTTTTAAAGCATAAGTGGGATGGAAATTTTATTTTTTGGGGGGGAAGGGGCAAGAAAATTTATAATTTCACCTGATAAAACCATTTCGTACCTCATGGAAGATATTTATGTTTGTCATCTCCAATCGTATGGAAGATTAATTATATACGTATGCAATGGAAGATTATTTTCAGAAAAGTTATCAATAAGTTCCCTGTTATTTCGAGTTCTTTGATTGGTTACATCCAGAGTTGCAAATTTTTATGCAAACATACGTTCCTTCCTGAGTGAATGTCAAAGTATTGGTGCGGTTTGTGTAGATTTTGAATCGCCTGTGACGAAAGTCGTAGTATCCGAGGCATAGGTACATGTATTACAAGAATAGATTAACAAAGGCCAGATGGGAAAGGCGCAAAATTGTGGCAGGGATAAACATGTTTTGTGTGATCTCAACCCGCCCCTATACCTCTAGCCAATGTAGAATAAACAAACACACAGCGAAACGCACAGTAAAACTCAGTTCAAAAGAAGTCCGATTCCGATGTTAAAATATGTAACAAAAGAATATAAGCAAGATGACAAATGAACAGCGTTATAGGTTGATTGTGAACTGTACAGACAAGTTTGATAGATTTTTTAAAGACTGTATTTATAATAAATGATATTTTGGATTTTTTTTCTTTTCTTTGGTCAGTAAATTGTTTGAAGAATTTTGTGGTTCATTTCTTATTTTTTTAAGCCAAACGTCAACTATATTTCATGTAAAGTGTACCACCTCAAAACAACCTATCCAAATTATACTCATTTTAAAGATTTATTTTGCTTGATTTTAATAAGTAATAATAATGAACGTCTAGATATTCATATTTAAAGATAAATAGTGTCTTTATAGTCGTTAAAGATAAACTATATAAGAATTAACAAATAAGAATGACATGAAATTTTAAGGAACCGATTTCTTTGCAGGTAGAACAAGCTTTATGAGTAATGGACTACTTAGAGAAGTTAAGACTGGCAACTGAGGATAATAATGATACAGAGGTCCAGAAAATAAGAGTGGAAAAAATTAAAGAAATCACAGTTACAGGGTTTTATAAAAATTGCCCTCTTGATCATTATGAAAAAGACAGTTCATCACAAGCATTGCTACCAACCGATCTGGACCCAGTCATAGCTAACTGTTTTGCTATCAAAGCTACTGGTAATGGAATTGTCTATACCGTTATGTTTCTAAAATGAACATGTTGCTGATAGAATATGCCTTCTATTAGCATTAGAGTTATACCAGAAGATAAAACTATATGCCAACCTTTCACCGCTTGAAGAAGTAGCAAGGCATCCTGAAACAGTCAATAGGAATCTTGACCATCTGTTTACCGGTTTACCACAAGATAAATTATTGAAAATCTATGACGTGGCTAAAACCATGGAAGATACCATAATGTACGAAGCACTACCAACATGCCATACTGGAAATTTGGCAGGGAAGATAAACATAATGGCCCAGCAAATGTTTTTAACGTCTCAATTCGTTCTGTTTTCACAGATGCCTGTAGAAGTACTCGACCACTTCTGCATAGGAAAATAGATCCAATCAACATGACCAACCAAACCTGCATCAGCGAAACTGACTATGTAGAAGTAGATACTCTTGGAACAAGAGATGGAGATTTAGTTGCATGGTGGTAGATAGTTGTTTGTTTACAGTTTAGTGTTTTTATTTATTCATTTTGGTGTATACATCCTATCAAGACATTGTATGATGTTTAATTGTAATATTCCTAAGTGACAGGTCGAAAGAGTGGAAGCTTAAATTACATACAAACTTTATTGCAAATAGGAACTACTACACACAATTATTGAATTTTGATATTAGTATATATAAATATATGTGACTGAATTCAGTCATAGACTTAAATTTAAAATTTGTTTTGTATATTGTATAGATATTTCTACTGTACAAACCCATGTACCTTTTGAATTATGGTACCGGTGACTGAATTCAGTCAAGATTTTCATTATTGTTAACATTAATATGTGTATTTAAAACCAATTTGGAATAAATTATCTATACTAAAATCTATTTTTGAAAAAGAATATGATTTTTGATGTTTGTAAATTGACTGAATTCAGTCAACAGTTTTCCAATGTACTACTTTCAAAACTGTACCCCTTAGAGCATTTAATTGTTGTGTGGGATATTACACACACCCAACTACTACCAATCTCTAATTTTAAACGTATTATCCATTGAATATTGCAAAGGTATTTCATTTAATTAAGATGAAAGTTCCAGTGCATGTTTGATATATAAATAGACAAGATGACTGAATTCAGTCATCACTTTGGTGTCACATATGCAGTTTTTATTCATACAGATGACTTGGACAAAAAGAATTTCATCAAAAATTAATCATAATTTAAAAGTTCGAATAAAAAGTTATACCGTTGATATGTATATGCTTATTCTCATTTGTTTTGTTTTTGAACATGCTAAATAAATTATTGTTGAAATGATTTCTCTGGCTTATTTCATATGTTGCTAGTCCTATTTGAATAAAATAGTATATTCAGCATCAGAGTACACAAGTGGAAGCAAGTACCCAATGTGATTTTATTTTGCCAAAAAGGGACCGAAATCTTCATGTTTTCCTATGGACTAAAAAAATTGTATATTTACATTTGTCATCTTGCACTTCTTACAAAATATCTGCATATACACTTTGTATCAACAGCTGTCAAATTCTTTTAAGATGTGGAGAAAAATCAGTTGTCTAAATTTTAAGGAGGTGTTATTAATCAGAATCTTGCTAACTCTCCATATTTGACAAATCAGAATATTGACAAGTTGAATCAGAAGGTGTTGCCCGTAAAAGTCTAAGTTCCTAGCGGTTTGCGTTTCTTTCCTTTTGGCTGATGCATTTACTGCTCATTTCTACAATGTTATAAACGTCATTCTTGGTTTTCAAAGAAAATTTAAAAACAAAAACAGTGCCAGAAAAACTCGATCACTGAACACAGACATGGTTCCAGGAATTGTGTTTTCCAAATTGTCGCCTCATGTTTTGTGATAAAACACTTCCAGGCAATCTAAATGTCATCTCCTGCTAAATTTCAAATGCAATGGAAAATGTAAGCAAATTTTCTCACCAACCAAACATTTGTCTTCTGTTTCATTTGAAAACAAAAAAAAAACATTTTTTGGCACTCATTCGAAGGGTAATTTTTCAGATTTTTTTTTGATTTTTTCAGATTTTTAGTCCCATAGTTAAATTCCCTCGTTACGGCGTCATCATACACAAACTGGGAAAAACAAGAAACTGAACGTTTAATAGCGTTATATTTACGTTTATCATCCCTGAAGGCCAGCTTGTTTTGCTCATACATTGTTGTCAATATAATGGAATTCTATGCGACTGTCATACAGATTTAATCCACCATTTTTTAAATAAGGAAATGCCTGTACAAAGTCAGGAATATTACAGTTGTTTTCCATTGGTTTGATGTGGTTGAACTTTTGATTTTGCCACTTGATAAAGGACTTTCCGTTTTGAATTTTCCTTGGAGTACGGTATTTTTGTTATTTTAATTTTTTCAATCAAATTTAAAAAAATGAAAAATCCTACAAAGACATGAAACAAAATACAGGCTTTTATCTTCTCGGCTCACCTACTGACTGCCAAATACGTGAATTCAAAATTTCTTTCTTGTTATTTTTAAATTTTGAAGAATACTAAATTGTGTAAACCTAATGAAAAAGGCTCTTCCTGAATGATGTAATTATACTTAAGTAAAATTTTCAAATATTCAAATGTTACAATATGAAACTTTTTTTACCGAATTTTGTACAAACTATAGTCATCGAGTTCATATTTCTAAACATTTAACTGTTATAACGTTTATATTTTTAACCATCAAATTTCATATCAAATAAGGTAAATTTTCACATTAAATTTCCTTATTAAATTTTATCAAACTTTGAGGTAACAAGGAATGGACTATGGTTTTTCTTTCTCTGAATACATTAATCAAACAAATCATTAATCAAACCAACATTTTCTTTGGTAACCATATTGATAAAAAGTTATTTTGAGATGTATTTTTTAAATTTATTTGTTAAACTGAATACCTCCATGTTAAGTTACAAATAAAAGAGATAAGTTGCATTATATATAGAGCTTCCTTTTCAAACAAACCCCATGCATGATCAATTGATAGTTGTCTTGACAATGCGCCTGATCTTTACCTCAGTATTTTCAAAGAAAATGAATTATAATTGCATGTCACACAAATTTGTATTGAAAAAATCTGTACACAGAAAATTATCGTCTTTCATATATTCCTTCTTTTTTTTGTGTTTATGATAGTGTTGTGCATAGTTCACTTTTTTGAGAAATCCACACCTTTTCAACAACTGAAATTTTGAATGCACCTGTCTATATGAAAGTTCGAAAAAAAATCTAAAAACAATACTATTCAAAATCCTGTCCGTTCAGCATGTTCACAACAGACACGATAACTTTAAAATGTCTGAGTGAAGTAGACTTTTACAGAACAACGATAACTTTAAAATGTCTTAGTAGAAAGTAAATAACAAAAATAACGAACTCTAAGGAAAATTCGAAACGGAAAGTCCTTTATCAATTGTCAAAATCAAAAGCTCAAACACATCAAACGAATGAAAATCATTCCTGACATATTCCTGACTTGGTACAGGCATTTCCTTATGTAGAAAAAGTAGACTTTTACAAACCCACGATAACTAACATAAGATTTTTGTAAAACGAAAGATTAATCTGATGTCTTATTTTCTTCCTCTAATAACAAATCATAATAATAAAAGAGCTTCATGATATTTTAATAGCTTTGATTATCAACTAAATTGAGTTAGCTCTACTGCTGAACGTTTTGCGGATGATATAAACTTCATCATGAAATTATAAACCCTGATGATTGTCAGAGACTTAAAGAGGAATTACAAACTCTATCTGCTTGGTCTAAAATCTGGTTATTACGTTTCAATGAAACACATCAATAGTATATGGTTTTTATTATTTTTTTGGCAAGTTTTGACAAGGAGATGTTTTACAAAATTAAACGTCTGAGAAAGTAACGATTTTGTATTACTATGACTTGACTGTAAGTTTTGCTCTCTCCACCTATTACAATTTATTCAAAATTCGGACCAAATTGCAATTTGTTTTATCAAACCAAACTGTTCAACTGGTCAGAAATTTTAACGAACTGCTGTAGAAAACAAGTCAAGTCGTGAAAGTGCAAGGTGATAAACAAAAGCATACTTACAATCCTATTAGACTTTAACTCTACTTCAATGATATTATGATTATGAATCTCAGAATTTCTATCCATAGGATGATTGTAATTGTCATTCGAAAGGTAGTTATTTTTGAATTGCCAAAAAAAAATGTCTTAATTTAAGTTCTGCAATTATTTCATTTAAAATGGTGTTTTTTCTATGCATACTTCAAAGCTTTCTTTAAATTAATCTCTAGAATACTTGGTGAAATATACTTTAAACTTAAATATGTTCTTTTGAAGTTTTAAAGGGTGATAAGATCAATATTTCAAAAGATCAATGATTTTAGATTATCTCCCATTAAAATTTATTAATAATGTATTGTAATTTCATATATATTTTGCTGAATATAACACGATTTAATTCAAACTGATGTCTGACTCTTATGAATATAGAAGACTTTTTCAAAGAAAACTTGTATGAAAGCTTAGTTTGGACATTTTTATAGCAATTCAAAAATTATTACCTATCACCTTTCGAATGACAATGACAATTACAATGAAAATAATATATAGAAATCCCGCATTTCATTTACATAATATAAATAAAGTGGAATTAAAGTCTAATAGGATTGTAAGTATGCCTTATTAAATCAGTTTGCACTTTCACGACTTGACTGTGGTTTTCTACAGCAGTTAGTCAAAATATCTGACCACTTGAACAGTTTGGTTTGATGAAACAAATTGCAATTTGGTCAGAATTTTGAATAAATTGCAATAGGTGGAGAGCAACACTTACAGTCAAATCACACTAATATATTGTGCGTCCAATTTTAGAATATGGATCAACAATTTGGTGATTATATTTAATTTAAGATATTGTAGCATATGTGTTTTTATATGACAAACAATTCGTTCGAAAGTAAAGATATATCTAATACCACCGGTTGGTTTGAACTGAGCAACTTGTAAATCAGAAGTCACAACTATAAATAGAAAAAGCATTATACTATAACAGATTAAAAAAAAATTTTCTTAAATCGTATTGCGATCATTTGAAATTCGCTTTCCACTTCTACTGTTGTAGCCCAAAGGAAAGATGAACAAAGTCTCAAAGTAACTGAATATATAAAATAATGTCGCAATAAATAATATATATGATACCATCAAATCAGGCACGAAGAGCCTCTATCATTTTTCGCCAGAATACAACATTTCCATATTCGTCACAAGGATATTCTATATAAGAGTTAGAATCAATGTACTCCATCATAACTAAAGGTAGCTCTTTTGGGATCATTTTTGTCAGAAAAACCAAAAACAGCGTATTTTCAGTTTCTCGCGAGTACATACTTTCCATTCTTGCCATATTGAATTCAAACATGCACCACTGAGAATTTAAGTAATGGCGTGTCAGAATGATAACTGTTTTACGGCTGTTATGGATAGCACTCGTTATATTTGCGGAAATTTCGTTTCCTGGAAGGAAATCGCGTCTGTGTACACATAGCTTTAGGTTGCCTCCTTTTTCTAGATTATCAATAGCATCGTGGTGAACAAAATTGCCGTCGTGTTCTGCATAAGATATGAATGCGTCGTAAATGTAAGATTTGCTTGAATTCTCTATTACAGGAATATATCCACGGAATCTATTTTTAGTTATATAATACAAATAGCGCAGGTTCCATCGATATTTGTAGAATAGTCCAAATAGAATAATTGAAACAGACAAAAATATTGCCCCGGTTATTCCTATAATGACTCCGGGATACGAAGAACATTCTTTTTGTAATTTGTTGAACACATCATTTACGTTTGCAAGTGAAGATTTTGATCCGTTTTCGTACTTACATTCATATTTGCTTCGATCAAGTAAATCAATTTTTGTTTCCGATATCCATTTTAGGAATTCCAATGTAGCACACGAACAAACAAATGGGTTTCCGCTCAAATTCAAGAAGAGTCTGTGATCCTCAGACACGGATTCCAAATGAAAAATCGCTGAAGTTCCCAAATATTGGATAAGATTTTTTGATAAGTCAAAATGAGATAAGTTTTTCATTTGAACTAATTTGAAGTCAATATCTTCAATGAGATTGTCATGTAAATTCAAGATTTCGAGTCGTTCAAGAAATATGAAAAACAAAGGCGGTAATTCAGGTATTCTGTTTTGTGATAAGTCAATAGTATTTAATCGTCGAAGGGGCTTGAAAATTTCACCTTTAACATCATATGGAATGCTGAAACCTAACAAATTATTCTGTATATAAAGTTTTTCCAGTTTTGCAGTTCCTTCAAAAAAATATGATGAAATTTTAGAGCAATAATTACTGGATAAGTTCAAAAATTTTAGGTGTAAGAAGTTCACTGTTGGTCCGCGCCAGCGTGAAAGTAGGTTCAGACTTGCATCAAAATATTCTAACTTATTTTCCATTAGTTCTAACCTAGGGATATCGAATTGTAATTGACTTCCCTTCACGTGAACTTCTCGTAGATTCTTTGGGAACGGAAGTGGAAAATTCACTCCAAATGCTCTTTTTATACGTTTAGCTTTAAGGTGCGATTCATATCTGTCGGTGGATCCAAATGTAGGCTTATGTGAAGTAAACTGAAATGACACGTTTAGAAAAGAAATGTTCATGTTTTTTCCTTCCAAAATATATTTCCCAAACGAGAGCATATTATCGGCCATTGACAGCCTATCTAGTGATTTTGGCAATTTTGAAACTACCCCTGTTTTAACATTTTGTAATCTATTACTATCCATGTGCAGCTCTCTTAAATTTGTATGCTGAAGATATTTCAATGTATGGCGACGTATTTCTGAATTCATTGCAAATGTTTCATGTACTTTGTTGAATTTCAGTACCTCAATGGATGTAAACTGTAAATCATAAGTTATATTTCCAATGCCATCAAATTCCAAGTTCTCGTTGTAGGAAACGTTAAGATGTGTTAGATTTTTCAAACCACTGAAGGTATTTTTCCAAACCTTTTTCACTTGACAGTGTGATATATCTATATACCGAAGATGTGGTGTGTACTGGAAAAACTTCGACTGAATGATTCCAATGTCACAGTCTTTACTCGACAAATCCAAGTATGAAAGTTTGCTGAGTGTTTTCAATCCTCGTGGAAAACTGTCATGTGGCAAGCCATCTAATTTGAGAATATTAAGTTCTGAGAGTGATGACAAGTTTGGATACTTTTGAGCAGATGAATAATAACCTACGTTAGTTTTTAAGTTAAGGTATCTTAGCTGAGGAGTATTTTTGAAACAGTTTGAAGGAATCATATCAATATCATACTTTAAGTTATTCGACTCGAGATTTAGAGTAACTAATTCTTCAAGTCCTTGAAAGGATTCCGGAAATAAAAAAGATATACTGTTATGAGACAAATCCAGGCACGTTAAGTTTTTAGCATTTCCAAAAATATAGTTTGGTATACGTTCGATTTTGTTGTAGCTTCCGTCAAATGAACCCAGACTGTGTGATGCATTGCAAAAATACGGAAGAGTCAACAGACCTCTATTGGAACATTTTGCTGATATTAGATTTGTTGATGTGTTTAAGATACAATCACAAGAAGAATCGAATGAGCATTTGAAAGAAAAGACACTGTAAACCAAAACTGTTAATAAGAGTATATTTTGAAGCACGTGTAAGCGCATTGTAATAGACTTGTGTTGAGGCAACTGTAATTGAACTAAAAAATAAAAAGAATACACATGGTTTTTTTTTTAAAGAACGCTACAATGACGAGAGCAATTTATAGAATATTTTTGGAAACATCAGTTAAATAATTAAAATAATCTCAAGGTAAGATAAAAAAAAAAAAGAGTAAATTATAACTTCACCAACAATACAGAGTCTTACAAATTTTTGAAACAGAAAAAAGCACTTTTCAATTCAATTTAAAAAAACTTTCTAAATATGCGGATTAAAATTGACTAGAAAAATAAAAAGATATGTATAAAAATTAGTATTTACCTGTAATCCTACTCTTTCTAATGTAATACAAGCTATGAGGAAATCTTTTATAATATAAATACCAAATACAGAAATAAATTCGAATTCTAGCGTAATTTATAAGGATGTAAGCAGATAAAAATTATACTTTGAGCATTAAAGGACAAGGAAACTAAACATGAGAAATCAAAAATCAAATTATGCATTAACATAATAACTATAGATTTTTTTTTGCATTCGGTTTGTGGTCAGTTAATAGTATAATATTTCCCCCCCCCTAATTCTTATGTTAATATGTGTATGATTCTTATATGATTTGCATATCTAAAAATACTTCAACTTGATTGTTCCGTTTGAATATTTTCCTTTGGTTAAAACTTCGATAGACCAAGTTACCGAAACTTCTTTCGTAACATGTCGATTTCACTGTGATCTATTCATGCGCGATACGATACACATGCATTGGATTCTGGGGTTCCAGGAAAATCGTAACAGAAAAAACCCAGCAGAATTGATATTTTTATTCTAACGCAAATCAAAAATAATTCATAAGAGCTTGGAAAAATGTATAAAATCAAAATAAGATCAAATTCCTCGAAATTTTATGAATGGATCTTGGCGCATTAATTAAAATTAACGTCGTGGCAAAACATGACGTCATACGAATGAAAACTTTCAAGCTGAAGATTATTCCATTACTTATACGCTTCAAATTAGGATAATATCTCATATAAAGGGAGTATTTGAAGTAGGTATTGTTTCATTATCAATTCTATTGCATTGATCGAACATTTTCCCGGTTTTGGCTATAATTTTTGGTCCGTTTTGGGTTATAGCTCGTCGTCGTTTTAATAAGATTTGGATTTTCAAATATTTTGGCCTCCAGCATCACTGAAGAGACATTCATTGTGGAAATGCGCATCTAGTGCCGAAAAATTGGTACCGTTAATGTTATTTATAGATTTTCGCAAGTCAATATAGCGGCTCACACCTTAGTAACGACATGTCAATTGTGGATTTGACGGCTAATTAAAAAAATGCAAATGTATGCGTTAAGATTTATAAGGATTAAACACATTTTTTCTAGAGGTTATTGATGTGTAAAGTGGGCCGCTGAATCACAAACTTTACATAAATGTCGGACTTATATACAGTTTGTTAGAATATCGCCGCAGTATATTAATAAACACCCACTAACATTCATATTTCCACACATTATGTTCTTGAAAGATGTATAAATCAATCTCCTGATAATATTCTAAATCAAATGGCCTCCTCTATATGGTCAAAATTAGATATATGAATGCGCCAAAATTAAGATAAAACTCAATTTTTATTTAAGCAAGGAATTCCTCCGCCTCTTAATCTATCCTGACTTAGCACTGATAGTAGCGGTTTATTAGAATAAAGATGTGGTATGATTGCCAATGAAACAACTATCTACCAGAGATAAAAAAAAAGAGGTGGAAGATATGAAAGGGATATTCAAACTCACAAGTCTAAGAAAATTTGACATTGTTATGGCAAAACAAATAGCGACCAAAAGACAAACAACAATCAACAAAACATAAGACTGAGCAACACAAACCCATCGAAACCGGGGTGATTTCAGAGGCTCCGTCAGGGAAAGCAGATCATGCTCTACATGTGGCAATCGTCGTGTTGTTTATGTACGTACATTTTTCCGTCGTTTTTCGTTATTTGTCATGATTTTTTCTGTCTTTTTCATTTTAGGTAGCTCGAGTGTCTTCTGCCATCTTGGATTGTAAAATAGCCGAAAACAATCGGCCTAGATCTTTAATGACATGTGTATATTTTGAGAGAAGAAAGTCATTCATTTGTAAGACTTTTCATCTGAATGAAGAAAATTATGTATTTTGTCATATTTTTCTGACTGTTTTTTTTTTACAAATAATATTCCTTGTTTGATAATTTTTTTCTTTTTATATTTTTAAAGCACAGTATATATATAAGAGCTATCTTCTCATAATTTATCATAAATCCTATGGTCAAGTTTTCCTTCTATCACACATAATTGTGTTTTCCATGAATAATCTGTTTAAAACCTAACAATTTTAGTATGTATAGCAAATTATCGGAACTACATGAATAGATTATTTCTATTCTAAATTCTGTTCCTTTATAAAAAAAATGAAAACAACTCTATAAGTTTCATGCGTCTGGAGCACTTTTCTGGATTTGCCTTCATCGGAAACGCTAAAAACCTAATATTTGAAAGCCAAGGATGTATAAGAACTGAAACAGTTGAAGAGATTAAAGTAAATACTTTATTAAATATTGCATACTCAACGATTGATTGTTTACACTTTGAAATGAAAATAATACCTCCTTAGCGCTTTTCTTGATTTACTTTTAACAAAAACGCGCGAACCCCCAAAATGTAAAGCCAAGGATGTATAAGTACTTTATAAATTAGGAACTATTTAACCAAAATGTTACTTCATAAACTTTTGGATTGTGTAGTTCTTGTATAAACTTGTAATACTCTTTTTCAAAGACTTTCGTCGTCTTTTAATTTTTTTTTCATTTATGGTCCAACCAGTTAATTGGCCCACTTTGAACAATTCACATTGTCATTGATAATATCAACTATGTCCATGATGTCCCTTTATGTTTTGCTTCTCTATTACGTTACGTCACAGTTCACACATGTATTAGCTTTAATCATAATCATTTTGATTATGTGATGCCTTATCAGTTCATTTTTAACGGAGTTGTCACAGGAGTAATGTGAAGGATAATAGAAGTGGAAAAGGAACTGCTGACACCGAGCACCTGAGTTCATCCTCGTGAGTTTTGTGGATTCATGTTGCTCAGTCTGTTGTTTTCTCACGGGGGGTCTCAACATAGGATTTTGGGTACTATTGTGCAGCTGGGATTTAAAAAACACCCCCCATTCATATATTGAATAATTGTGAAATCCCTACCTATACATATATTTCACAGCGAAATCATATCAAATTCATATATTTATCAGCTCAAATAGTACCTATATGCATATACAATCTTATTATATATTAAAAACACTTTTCAATTATATAATATACTTTTCTAGATTTAGACATTTCAATTTCTAAAGGGAAACTTCATACTAAAATTTACGACAAAGAGACGATTTTTCATTCCCTATTGTTAATTTTCCTTTTTTAGATGGCGATGTGCCTTTGGCTCCATCATACGGTGTTTATATATCCCAACTCGTTCGGTATGCCCGTGTGTGTAATGATGTCATAGATTTTAACGAACGTAATCAATGCATCACTGGTAAATTATTAAGTCAGGGATTTCGTTACCATAAATTACTTAAAACTTTTACTAAATTCTTTCATAGATACAAAGATTTGATTAGTAAATTTGGCTGTACCTTATTAAAAATGGTATTTCACATCCTAAATTTCACGGTAATATTGTACTTAAAGCGCGGAAATCACTATGTGATCCGTGTAAACTCATCGAACCTTTAAACAAACTTATTAGTAAGGGTTATGGTACCGATGTTGTAATTAGATCTCTGAATATAGTTTACATTGGCACTAATATCGATTTTGTCATTAGCAAATTAAAACATAACTAAATTTGTATTTTCTTTTCAAACGGGATGTATAGAGACACACACATGTTCATTTTTATCTATAAAGAAGTCACTCCTAACTATCCTACTACCTGTCGATACATTTATTTTTGGCATTGCACAAGTGATGTCTTCTTTGACTGTTCATGACGTTAAAATACTAAATCCCTGGGATGTGTTTTAGTTGATTTTAGTCTTTGATGCATGATTTTTTATTATTAATTGTTTTGGCTTTTAACTAGCTGTCAGTAACTGCTAGTACTCTCAAATCGTACTTTCTTGTTGGTTTGACCTGTTGATACTATTTGTAATGCTTTTTTGTTATTTAATGTTAACATGGATCTTGTCTATATACCAGCTTTGATTATTTGGAATTACTACAAATTTTCACTTCTTCGTACTATGAACATCAAAATTATTTCATTTCTCCTTAAATACTGTTCTTGCACCTGTACAGGAAGTTTAATCTAGCACTAATTGTATAGTTTTATTGTTGATATTCACCCCATATGTACCAAGTGTTAGATTAGTTTTATTGATATTAAAGAAATTTCTTGGTATTCCTAAACGGAAGATTTTATACACACAGAAGAAGAAGTATACTTAACAACAAAATTATTCTCATTTACCTGTGTATAATTTGACGCAGGTTTTTTCAAAAGTGATGATTTTCTAAATATTGTTTATCATTTCACAGTGGTATCATACTTTAACTTTGTTTAAACCTGTTAATTACTTTTGACCTTAATTATTTATCCCTTATAATTTTTATAAACTATGTATTTGCATTCAGGTATCACCGATCAAATTTATTCGTTCATTGTGTGTTAATTTGCGTTTTTTGATTGAGTTAAGCCTTCCAATTGATATTTTATAGTATGTCTTTCTATGTTGTGATGTTATACTATTGTTTCAGAAAAGGGAGAAGGTTTGGTACCATTAAAACGTTTAATCCCGCTGCACCTGTCCTAAGTCAGGAATCTGATGTACAGTAGTTGTCGTCTGTTTATGTAGTTCATACGTGTTTCTCGTTTCTCGTTTCTCGTTTTTATATAGATTAGACCGTTGGTTTTCCCGTTTGAATGGTTTTACACTAGTAATTTTTGGGGCCCTTTATAGCTTGCTGTTCGATGTGAGCCATGGCTCCGTGTTGAAGGCCGTACCTTGACCTATAATGGTTTACTTTTATAAATTGTTACTTGGATGGAGAGTTGCCTCATTGGCACTTATACCACATCTTCCTATATCTATTTAATTTATATGAATATTGAACTTTTCAAACAATAACAAGTAAAAACACAATGAGAATAAACGCAACAAAATTAGTGCAAATAGATCGATGTGTTACGCAATAAGTGCAAAAGGTTCGATATGTGACCTTTTTTTACTATACTCTAATTATTAATTGTGACAGTGTAATAAAATTTGATCAATAACAAAACTTTTATCAATAAGTTTCAGCAGATATATGTGGAAATTTTAATGACAAAGAGTTTGGGAAATTCAGTGAAGATCATTGCATAACAAACTGAAAAATTATGACCCATTGATATATCACAATTGGTTAATTACTACCTATTGATATATTTCCTCCGTAAAATTGCACCCCATTGATATATTTGACGTATATAAAAGGGACCCATTCCAGCGGCACATATGTATATAACGTTACCTTC